AGGAAAAATGGAAACTTTTTGATCCATGCCCTGGGGTAATATTTTATTTGGGGCCGACGTTTTCAAGTATTTTTTTCTTGTCCTGGCGTACTGAGCTAGTGTGGAAAGATGAAACTTGGCACATAACTGCCTATTGGGATGCTGCAGAAAAATTCAGACTTTGGGCAAGTAAATGCCCTGGGGGCACAAGTTTCAAATGGAGATGTTTTCAACTAATTTTTTGCATCAGTGAAACTGTTGAACATGGAAAGCTGAAGCTTTCCAGGTATGTGACAACTGAGACAAGGAGTTACCTAAACATGTTAACTCTCGAAATATCCCCTGGGGGGAATTTTTCGAGGTGCGATTTTTTGGGGAAGAAAATTGGTCGTGGAGAGTTGGAAAGTAATGGGAAGGTGAAAGCACACGTATAAGTGACATGATATTACTAAGCTGAAGGGGTATTCAGCTTTCATGGTGCATCTCCTCCGGGCAAAACGTTTAGGTGGGTCCGCTTTTTCAAACATGTTTGTTCACCAGCGGAAAGGGCAAACGTATAATATTGAAATGTTATGGTTATGTAGTTCAATGATGATGGATTTCGGAAAAAAAAAGAAAAAAAAACATTTTCAAAATGTTTTCTTTGTTTCAAAAGGATACACATGGAAAGCTGAAACTTGGCAAGAACGTGACTGTTGACGCACTGAGCTCAAATGTCAAACGTCAAATTTCCAAAATAATTTTGGGGTTCATAACAATCGATGCAATTACTAATCGTCACGGAGTTTCGTAAAATTCCAACGAATTTACAAAAATTCAGCCTGTGTTGAACAAAATATTACTTCTCATAAGAAATCATATTAATGAGAACGAAAGCGCGGGCGAGATCCGAGATATTGAAGAAAGTTTCATCCCATAGCATTAAGAACTTCGCGTTTGACTGCGGGAAGAGAGCCATTGAGTTAGGAAAACATGCCCGTGCTCCCGTAATCTGTAACAGCCACCAAGGTTACTTCATTTCTCCCTTCTCAAACTTTAAATCGATTCCATATACGAAATATCTTGCGAAACAAGATTTGTCCTCAATGGTCTACACAAGCCAGTCGAATACATTTGGTATCTGTACGACTAAGTATAAGTGCGATAAACGCGGTTAAAGAATTATGTTTTCATTATAGGGTGTCCCTATCAAACTTTGTGGGCAGGTAGTTCTCATGTAGTTCTGAGGATTGATTTCGGTAAATAAAAATGGTACTTTTTCGTTAAAACGCCTGAGGGCACATATTTTGCAAAAGACTTATTTTCTCGAACCAGCAAAACGGTGGGCGCATAAAGATTATAGTTGGAAAAGAGGAACCTGATGGATAGCTGAGTAATAAAAAATTATTATTTTATTGTCTAATATATATAGACGATCGTGACTGACTGACTGATGCTAATTCTAACAATGTTCTAGAAGCGTTAGAAATCTAAAACTTGGAACACATGTACCTTTTGGGATGCAGAGTTCAGAAAACATCCGACTTTGGAGGTACATGCCCTGGGGCTACACATTTTTGGGGAAACGTTTTTCTTTAATATATTTTGTGACAAATGAGGATGGCATTCAGAGAATGAACTGGATGTCATGGGTTCAGTGGTGTAGTAGTCACGTATCTGACTGGCAATTAGGAGGGCCGGGGTCAAATCCTTGACTTCCTTTAGGTTTTTTTTCCTTTCCTTTACTCATCCCGTTACTCATTCCTCCTCCATAACATTATTTTTCCTTGAGCAAAACGGAGAAAGATGGAAAGCTATAACCTGGCATGGAAGTGCCTACCGAGGTGATGAGTTCAGGAAAAATGGAAACTTTTTGATCCATGCCCTGGGGTGATATTTTATTTGGGGCCGACGTTTTCAAGTATTTTGTTTTGTCCTGGCGTACTGAGCTAGTGTGGAAAGATGAAACTTGGCACATAACTACCTATTGGGATGCTGCAGAAAAATTCAGACTTTGAAAGTAAATGCCCTGGGGGCACAAGTTTCAAATGGAGATGTTTTCAACTAATTTTTTCCATCAGTGAAACTGTTGAACATGGAAAGCTGAAGCTTTCCAGGTATGTGACAACTGAGACAAGGAGTTACATAAGCATGTTAACTCTTGAAATATCCCCTGGGGGGAATTTTTCGAAGTGCGATTTTTTGAGGAAGAAAATTGGTCGTGGAGAGTTGGAAAGAAATGGGAAGGTGAAAGCACACGTATAACTGACATGATATTACTAAGCTGAAGGGGTATTTAGCTTTCATGGTAGGTGGGTCCGCTTTTTCAAACATGATTGTTCACCAGCGGAAAGGGCAAACGTATAATATTGAAATGTTATGGTTATGTAGTTCAATGATGATGGATTTCGGAAAAAAAAGAAAAAAAAAAATTAAAAGTTTTACAAAAGAAACAAAGTTTTCCTATGTGTACCTTTCGACTTTGAACCGTTCTTGCACTGACAACTGCGTGACTCGAGTTTACAGTTTGCAGTTTAAAGGTTTTATTAAAACCCCAAGTAATTTATTAAGGAAATAACATTTTAAAATAATTTTTCATGTCCTACCGAATCGGGCAGAAATGGAAAGTATCTGGCATAACGAACGTGATCTTGATTTAGGGAAAAAGTCAACTTTGCAAAAATTTTAAAGGATGATATAACACTGCCTAATCCTACCGTAGCTCTCCAAACTGCCGTACAGAGCCTAAACCACAACATCACCATCGTGTGGATTGGCCGTTAGCTCTTCGGGCCCAAGTTTAGGACCTTCAAGACACCGAATCTTTCGCCCTCTTATGTCTTCCAAGTCGCGTTACTCATTCCGCCTTCGGGCACAAATAGAAAAGTAATAGCTGGCACACGCATTAACGGACGTAATGTTGATTTTAGGAAAAATTCAACTTTCGTTGTGCATCTCCTCAGAACACAGCTTTTGGATAGGTCGCTTTACTAAATACATTTTTTTATCTCCTGCAAAAAAAGGAAAACGTATGAGGCTGAAACTGGGTGGCATGGAAGTTCTCTGAGTCTACATTTCAAAAGGAAAAAATTATCCATCCCGGCACTTTTTTCAGTCCCACTTCCCTGAATTTTTTAAGATCTAACGAAACAGAGAAAGAAAATGTATACTTCCCTCAGAAGTTTCTGTTTAATGGCTGAGTACAGGAAAAATCCTACTTTTGAAATATGCCCCATTAGCGTAGATTGTAGGAGGGAAGTATTGCAAAATGTATTCTCTACCCTTAAGAAAAGGGACACATGAAAATTTTTAAAGTTCGGCACACCATAAATAGTAGAAGTAATGATTTTCATAAAAATTAATACTTTATACCCCATATGTCACGTATTTCAATGGGACGTACTTTAAATACATGTTTCCATTTCGCTTAAAGTAAATTAATCACTATCCAAGGTAATGGAGTGCCGAACAAACTCGCTTGAATATCAATATGTATCAAACATAAAAATTAAAATTATTGACCAAGTGAAACAATCAAAGAATATTTCATAAATGGACACAATCCTTCATATATGTTGAAAAGATCTCAAGATCACCTCTGCAATGAAAGTACTATTCTTGCCACAAGTTCCCTGCCACATCGGAAAGTACTCGAAGGAAGACTTTAAAATATGAGAAAATTTGACTTTTCAGATGGATTTTCCTCAATTGTGACCTTAAGTGGAACTGTTAGCTTCATTTACAAGTACTACTTGGGAGGAATGAAACTTACTGATACTGGAGATTAATAAATTCCCTGGCAACCTGGGGATCTTTGTGTCTCCATAGTGCATGGATTTAACTTTTAAAGATCGCATTTGTTGTCAATCCGATTGTAAGTTGCCAATTCTGATTAAATTTGGTAGACGCATATGGTGACTCAAATAGGTTTTGCGTGCCAAGTTGAAAAAAAGAATTTATAATATTGTGTGAATGACACTTAATTTGCTTTTCATCGCCAACAATGTAAGTCTTCATTTCTTTGTTCCGCTATAAATTATTCACAATTGACGAAACAATCATGTAATCAAACAAAGCAAAATGAATGCCCAAATGACATTCAGGAAGGCAGAAAATTTGCTTCAGGGGCGTTCATTTCAACTGAAAATGTCTTCACGGGGCCCTCCACTTCGTTGAACACAAGACTAGCATCTGCCGTGTCTGCGACACTATAGATGAATGACTTGGTCTATAAACCTTCTGACTGAATGTCTCCTATTCTTCCTTTGTGTTATCATGCGGGGACGGAAGGTCATGAATTCATCATTCCGGCCTCGAGTTCATATCGATTGTTTCGACAGCCCATTTGTATTGGGGCATCTGCAAATAAATACAGCTCCTATCATTTTAGAGCTAAAAGGCTGAAATTTTGTATAGAAAATTTTTGTTGTTGCACCCTATAGCATACCAATTTTAATGATAGAGAATTTAATGTGGGCCTACAACGAGATTGACGGCACACTAAAAATGACAGCATTGCTTTTTTTGACCCAACCTGTATAACAAATGAATAATTATATGACATGGATCTCTTCAAGCAGGTCACGATATGGGATGCAGACAACTTCTTGGCATAGATCATGGTCATTTTAGAATAGCACTTTGCCCAGGAATCAAAGAAAGGTAAGCAACCAAAATATTAAATGTGATGGTATTGCTTGATGGGCACTTGCCGCGCAATTCCATGAAGATTTGTTTACGATCAGTTCCAGTATAGTTAATACGAGTTCGTCCGAATCGGAAGAGACAAACAACACGAAATGCTTTCAAGATGGTAAGTATGTGACTGGAAGCGTTGCGGAATTCAATTGCAACCAGTATTATATCCTCAAGGGAACACGGCGCCTGATATGCAAAGAGGATGGACAATGGACGGAAGACCCTCCCTTCTGCCAGCCTCGTCGGTTTCTACTTTTTAATTTTTTAATATGTACATCGGTTAAACTGTTAAGGTAGTTATACATAGTTTAGATAAGGTCTCTGTCTTACGCCCTTTTTAACCGATGGCAGCGGGAACTGTCGCCCTCCTTTCGGTAGGCCGTAACCTTTCACCGGCACCGTCCGACGATATATACTGTACCAGAAGCAACTCATCGTTTGTGGAGGGGCTCTCATTCGGGAACAATGGGTTCTTACCGCGGCTCATTGTCTAGCCGTTGGTGGTACCTCAAGAGTTCGACCTGCGAAAGATTTCCGTGTTTATCTCGGAAAATATTATCGGAATGAGTCTCTGGACGATGAATTCGTGCAAATAAGAGAGGTGACGAATAAGATATACATGTAAATATGCTTTGGTAATCCCTTTTACCTTTCTCCAACCCTTTCCTTTAGGAAAATTCAACTTCCTCGTATTCTCAGAAAGCAGAGACAAGAAATAAAGTAGGCATACTTCTTCTTTCAGCAAAAAATATTTCCATCCCCACGGGGTTGCATGGAAAACAAAATTACATTTTTTAATATGCAAATTTCACATATTTTATCCCCTCCCCCCCCATTATCCCCCCCCCCCCCACCCAGCCCTCCCATTCCCGCCTGGGTAGCCAATCTACCTGGTTGGTACCCTTTATATAAAGGAACATCTTCGGCTATTCAAAAATGAAGCATCACATGTTACGTAGTAAAAGCGGTAGTTATTTAATTTATCCGTAAGCAAGTAAATCCAATTGCCATGCGCTTCCAATCCCGTCTCCCAACGTTGGGAATATGATGCTTATGTTATGTAAGACTCATGATTGCTGATGTCTTCGTAAAGGTGTCTGGATTTTCCCATTTTTTACACATGGAACCTTAGGTGCTGAGTTCACAAGACGACACGAAATGAAGTGGTGGGTGCCCTTAGGTTAGAGTGTTGACAAAGCCCTGGGTGGCTTTGTCAACACTCTAACCTAAAGTTCTTTTCCTCAGTATAACACGAAAGCATTATGCAAGTTATTTTAAGTATTGGATTGAGGTCTGTCGACTCTGCTAGCCATTCTAAGACTTCAACTCCGTGGTCGTGGAACCATTGGCGAGCCAGTCGCGATATGTGTTTCAGATCATTGTCCTGCCGTAGCACATCCTCTCCCACTTTGAGCTGTTAATACTCGATTGTCGGGAGTAATTCGTCCGTGAGGATGCTTGTACACGGCTTTACATCCATTCCTCCTTCTATTTGACTGCCATATCT